GGGGTGGGGGATGAGGGACAGACACACTGTACATTAGCAAGGGAGGAGGAGGGGGTGGGGGATGAGGGACAGACACACTGTACATTATTAGCAAGGGAGGAGGAGGGGTGGGGGATGAGGGACAGACACCCTCTGTACATTAGCAAGGGAGGAGGAGGGGGTGGGCGATGGGCTTATGCGCTGAGTGTGTGAGAGCCCATGTCTTATCACACCATTTCAGTCCCTCCAGGAGGACTTGCCTCTCTTCCATCTTAAGGGGGAGCTGAGTGGTGAAGGCCTGACTTCTAGAATTGCTTTGACTTGGGGCTGTTGACCTTCCAAGTTGGAGAAGTTGAAGTCCTTGCCAGCTATCTAATGGGGACAAGGTAAATGACAGGTCTCCATGCAGAATAAGTTGAAAACCTAGGACAGACACCAATTTACGGGAGATACAACTTTACAATCATATTAAAAGTGCTTGGGATTCCAGTGCCCCGGGTAGAGCCCCATGAGTGTTGGCCTCGTCGTGGTTGAGCCCAGGCAGTGTCTGGTGGAGCCTTTGGTTTTGTTTGCATAGCCATGCTGCTGCTCTTTGCATCGCTTTAGCATCAGATTCTACTTGTCTCCAGGCTTGTGTGGAGTTCCTGGGTGAAGCTGTGAGTCAAAGCAATTGGTTTCCTTTCTAGCCCTATGTATCTCACTATTTGGGTTTAAAGCCAATTCTGAGTTAGAGATGTATCTCAGTGGCAAGAGTGCTAGCCCAGCATACTTGAGGCCCTGGGTTCAATTCTCAGCACTACCTAAAAGGAGGCATAGAGGCCTATGATGTAATCTTAGCTACTCCAGAAATGCAGGATCAGGACTTCAGGCTCATCCTTGGCTGGAGTCAGCTCCAAGCCCACCTGGGGGTACATTAGGGCCTGCCTCAGAACAATAGTTCTGAGAACAGATCTGGAGTTCACAGACAGCCAAAGGAGGTTCTGGCACTAAAGTATTGTCAACATGCTAGTCTACCAGTCTGCCCCCCACCCTGATGGTCAGTGCATTCTAGGGGGGGAATGTGTTAACACTCACTTTGTCAGGGGATTTGCTGAGATGATAACCATAACCAGAAAGAATATGGTTTGCCCATGCTCAGTCTAGGTTCACAGGTTTGCCCATGCTCAGTCTAAAGTCACAAGTTTGCCCCACTCAGTCTAGGGTCACAGGTTTGCCCATGCTCAGTCTAGGGTCATAGGTTAGCTCATAATTTGTTTAGGGTCGCAGGTTTGTCCATGCTCTTTAGGGTCGCAGGTTTGCCTAAACTCAGTCTAGGATCATAGCAAAACCATAACTGCTTTGGGTTCTCCGCTTTATTCAGAGCAGTAATCTGAGATGACAGAAAGTGGAAAAAGTTCCTCCCATTTCTCAGCTTCCCCCACCGTCTGGGGCACTGTGCTCAAGCTACTATTAGCTTTTGTTTCCAGGCACGGGGGTCATTGCTCCACTTCTTTCTCAATATCAAATAAGCTATGATCCGCAGTTTTCACCTTGCCCTCCCTTCTGAGACTGGCACTTATTCTTACCATCGGCAGGACACCTGCCCGTGGCACTGGATGTCCCAGCTGGTCTTGGCATTCTGCAGTGATAGGTATTTTGGTCCAGGCATTTGCTTGTGGCTGAAGTCCTTGGCTTAGGTTTCATTACTGCACTAGTTTATCCATCCAAGTTAGGCTGCCGTAGACTGCAGTGCCTTTCTGGATTGCAACTTCAAGTCAGAACAATATTCTGAAAAGCTGAAGAAAACAAGTTTAGAAGAAAATCAGTGGCCCAAGGGAGAGGAGAGAGGAGGAAAGGAAATTGCTTTCAGCTTGAGTTAGACAAGGCATTAGAAAAGTAATGGACTCACACGAGTCCATTGTGTCACGAGTTCATTGTGTCCCACGAGTCCATTGTGTCCCACGAGTCCATTGTGTCCCATGAGTCCATTGTGTCCCACGAGTCCATTGTGAAGGAGAAAGATGATTGCAGCCCTGGGTGGGCCCAGACACTGCTCCATCCGTCCAGCACAGACCAATACATGACTTACTCCTGGGAACGTAAGTTCACTGGGGAGAATTGAAACTATGGGAGCACATGGCATATTAAAAACACATCAGGGAAATCAGGCCCAGGAACCTAACAGACACCATAGGCTGAGGAAAGGGCATAATGCTTGAGTCCAGACCCCATGAACTGACAGACACATAGCATGGCTCCACATCACTAACATCTAATACCTGGTGTTTGTATCAAGGCTGAGGTCTCCCGGACTCAGCTGGTCCCCCAGTACTGACACACCTGTCTCAACGACCTGTCTCTCCACCTTGCTTCTTGTTTGGACCTGACTAGCCATTTCCTGCTCTGGACCCAGTATGGCCTTATCACCTTGGATTCTGCAACCTTGATCTCAAACCTGATACCAGCAGTTTCTACTGTTAGCTTCCTTGAGACACTGGTCTGGTTATCTATTTATTTATTTTTAATTTCATGAGTATGGGTGTTTGCCTGCATGTGTGTCTCTGTAACACTTATGTGCAGTGCCCAGGAAAGATCCCTTGTAACTGGAGTTACAGATGGTTATGTGGGTCGGAAAATCAAACCCAGGTCCTCTAGAAGAACAGCCATTACTTTATTTGTATTTATCTATCTATCTATCTATCTATCTATCTATCTATCTATCTATCTATCTATCTATCTATCCATCCATCCATCTATCCATCTATCCATCTATCTTTATTTGTGTTTTTGAGACAGGGTCTCCCTGTGTAGCCCTGGCTATCCTGGAACTCACCTAGTCCAGGTTGGCCTCAAACTCAGAGATCCCCCTGCCTCTGCCTTCTGTGTGCTGGGGTTAAAGGTGTGTGCCGCCACTGCCTGGCTTATTTCTTAACAAGCCATTTATACTGACTTGATTTTCTGCTTGTCAGAAAGACTTTTATAGATTCAAGTTGACTTTGATTCCTAGGATAAGAGTGATCAAAATTTCCTGGTGACAATTTCACACTTTATTTTCTTTAATTAAACATTTTTATGCAATATATTTTGCTCATGTTTGTCCCCTCCCCCAACTCCTCCCAGACCCTCCCCACCTCTGTGCTCTTCACTGCTGACCTGGTCCTTTATCACACCTGCACAGACTCCTTCCCGTTCCTGAAGCCTCCTGCGTACTGGTGCAGCCTCTCAGATGTGTATTGCTCTGAACCCCTTACAGACACCCACAGATATACAGACATATTTCCGTGGGCTGTGATGAGAGTTCAAAGCAGTGATTAAAACTAGAATAAAGAGCTAGATTTATCCCAGCCAGCCTACCAAGGGAGTTGGATTTTTATGACAATTTGTTGTCATTGAAAGTGCTACACCTTGTGCATGTATTGTTATCCAATATATTCTAATATTCTGGAAAGACACAAGCAAGTTTGTGTATGTTTCTGGCAGGGATTAGTGTGCTTAGTACAAACAAACAAGAAAGCAAGCCTCCAACCCCTCCGATAAAGCCTCCAAACAAAAACAAAACAAAACAACAAAGCAATGGTACAGCAGCCACAACAACAAATCCAACCTTTCAAAAGTTAATACATTTCAAAACTTAAATAAATCCATTTTTTTTCGGGTTAGAACTTTTTTGGCAGTACTTGGGTTTGAACCCACAGCTTTGCGTATGCTAGACAAACCCCCTTCTGCTGAGCTTACATCTCTAGCGCTAGTTCTCCCTATTTCTGACCTTTCATTTTCAAACATGACCCCCTAAGTCATCTTGAAGTCATGCTGCTCCTAGCTCAGCCTCCGGAGTGCCGGGATTATAGGCTTGACTCACCACATCTGGTTTGGTTAGAATCTTAATGTTATTTTTATAGTAATCACATTGTTGAGTTCTGTTACTTGGAAGTTGAGGGTGGATCAAATGAGGTATTATGAGTCAGCACCCTGGAACCCCAGTACTGTTTGAACAGTTAATTCTTAAGTTGATTGTTGTTGTTTTAAACTTTGAAGCACATTTTTATAATTAAATTCAGCACCTGTGGGGATTGCTGGAGGAAACTGGCCAAGCACTTTGTTATTAGAGCTGAGCCTTTGTATTGGGAGAAGACTGGTGTTCAGGGCCCTCCAGGCCAGCCTTTAGTTTTGGCTTTAGATTCCGTCATGTTAGAACCTCCAGCAAGGTTTACACTGCATTGGGTTTAACAAACTTTTAACAAAACACACAGCACCAGAGACAAAGACCAAGCTGGTCTCAACCACTCAGGGCATTTCTTGCTCGCAAGGACAGTTCCCGTTGTTTTACTTTAAGATCCAAAGTACAGTGACTCAGTCATGCGCTCTGGGACACCAAACCTGGGGTTATGCGCTTGCTCCATCTTTCGCCAGCTGTTCTCATTCCTCAAAATGCCAACCTCAAGACATGAAGTTAAGTGACCCACAGTGCCATGTGGAGTGAGTGTTGAGGATCTGCAAACACGCTCACCATCTTCATCTGCTCTCTCTTTGCATTTTTTAAATGTTGCATCTTCAGAAGCAACAGACACGTGAGGATAAGGACTATACTAGGCGTACAGCTGACCTGGAGTGAGTAACAGCTGAATTTGATAGGATGACTCTCACTTCCAGCTGATCACATTCTGTCTGTTTCCGAACCCTTAGGAGCAATAGGTGTCACTCTGGGAGAGGGAGTATTAAAATGTTCAGCTGTGCTTATGAATTACGGTCATCTGCAGGTGTCTGGGTGAGAAGAAGTGGGGTAGCCATGTGTAGGACAATGTTGTCTTTTAAGAGAGTGGCTCATCCAGGACAACGTCTCACATCATACCTCTGAAAACACTTGCAGAGGCTGCAGCAGAGGAGATGAATGTCCTGGGGTTGGGATGCAGCTCCATGGTAAGTTGGTTGTACATCAAGAAGAAGGCACTGAGTTCAGTCTCCCATACTGCAGAAGGAAACCAAGTGCTCTGCCTCTGATGAAGAAAATGGGTTTCATGGAGGGAGCAGATTCTTGAATTGAATGTCAGTTATGAAGTCATGCTCCCAAATTGAAGACAAGAAGAGCGCTCAATGTGGAGAGGATGTAGAGACAGGCTTCCATGCTCCGAATAAGAGAAATAAACATTATAACTTTTTCTGGAGTGCTGTGGGATGTCTTTCTGTACACTGTGAATATGTGTTGCTCTGATTGGTTGATCAATAAAACTGCATTGGCTTATGGCAGGGCAGGATGGAGCCAGGCAGGAAAATCCAAGAGAGATAGTGAGAGGAGAGAGGAGAGTAAGGGGAGACACCAGCCTGCCATCCGAGGAGCAACATGTAATGGGATGCAGGTAAAGCCACAGAACACGTGGCAATACATAGATTAATAATAGTTATGGGTTGAGTTAAGTTATAAGAGCTAGCTAATAAGCCTGAGGCATAGGTCATATAATTTGCAATAACGTTAAGCCTCTGTGTAATTATTTTATAAATGGCTGCAGGACCATGGGGCCGGGCGGGACCAGGTGGGACTGGAGAAACATATGGCTACACTGGAGCTCAGCTATGTACCAACACACACCTTCCCTTTGGCTCACAGATCCTAACTCTAGGAACTGATCCTAAGCAGGTGTTTCAATAAAGTATAAAGACACATGTGGGCCTCTACACACAGATGCACACCTGAAAACACATAATATACAACACCCTCTGTTCATACTAAGTAAAGCACAGTGCAGTCTTGATTTCTTATTTTCAACAGTTTAAAATTGTAGTTGTGCATTTAGTTTGTGTGCATGTATGTGTACGGGGACAGGGCACATGCTAGGGTACCTGAGCTCAGGCTTGGTTTTTTCCTCCTACCATGTGGTTCTGGGTGTTGAACTCAGACTTGGCGGCAAGCACCGTTACCTGCTGAGCCATCTTGCCACAGCCTTACTTTCTAACAAGTGATGACTGCTCAATTAATTGTGTTTGTTCGCATCACAGGGTCCTGGGAAGTGATGTTGATAGCTGTTTTATTAACATGGGGAGGCATTAGTGATACCCTGCTAGCTGTGACAAATATTTTTGTGGATTTGTGATCCTGTGCCACTAAAATTTAGCCACAGATTCATTTTTCTTCAAACACTGAAGTGCCCTCCCAATATTTTGGAAACTAAAGGTGGTAAGCATGGGTGTGGTGGCCACACCTTCAATCCTAGTACCTGGGAAGCAAAGGCAGGAGGATCTTTGGGAGGTCAAGGCCAGCCTGGTCTACATAGTGAATTTCAGGACAGCCAGGACTAAAAGAGGGACCTTGTCTCAAACAAACAAACAAACAAACAAACAAACAAACAAACAAACAAACAATGAAACAACCCACCCCCAAATTTAGGGGGTTGGAGAGATGGCTCTGCAGTTAAGAGCACTGGCTGTTCTTCCTGAGGACCTTGGTTCAATTCCCAGCACCTGCATGGTGACTCATAACTGTCTGTAACTCCAGTTACAGGGGATCCAATGCCATCTTCTGTCCTCTGTAGCAACATATGCATGTGGCACACAGATGTACATGCAGGTAAAACACCCGTGTACACATATAAAAAAGATGGTAAATGCCGAGCCTCTTCCTGTCTCTTCTGAGTCCCTTTTTTCTTGCCAGGCAGTGCTTATATTTTGGACTTTTATGTTCAGCGGGGCCTTGGGGGAACTCATGAGGCTGGTGGAATATTTTTCCATTTCTCTACGCACAAGCCTTCTTACAAAATACCGTGGTGAGGTGGGCAGAGATTGACATTATGGGCACTTCCATCCCAAAGGAGAGAATGGACGTTGTACATCCTCACCTGTTCCAAGCACCCAGCAGAGGGGTCCGTCCAGGCTTCCAAGCATGAGTGGAATTGTTCCCCTGGGTATGCCTGTTCACCTTGTTCCCTTTTCGGACTGAACTCAGGGACAGGCTGTCTCACTTTGTCACTGTTCTGTTTCTAACTCTTCACGGTGACACTTCTATACTCTCAGAAACAGATTCCTTTAGAACTTCAGTGTTTGATATTCAAATCTGAGTTTTTTGGTATGAAATATGTTTTTTTTTCTCCTAAAGAGTTCAAGTTTTGCCTTTCAAGACTTTTATTTGCCCCCCAAAATTATAAAATAAGTACTTTGATTTAACTTAAAATTGTCAAATACAATTGCTTGCATTTATCATGTGTAACATACTACTTTGAAATCGGTATACCTTGTGGGGAGGCTACAATGAGCTAGTTAACACATTGGATTGGAAAGAGTTGGGGGACTGACAGATGTGGGTGCCATCTTTGGAACCTAATGAGCCAGAAGGAATCAATGCAGTTTCCAAGCACAGATGCTTGTAATCTAAATCAGTCAAGTTTATCACTTTATATGATTGTCAGTATTTGTGTCTTATTTAACAAAGAATCTATACCCAAGGACATACAGAGATTTTTGATATTGTCTACTATATGCTATGTGTATTTGCCTTTATCATTTAAGTCTTTAATAAAGAGAATTGATTTTTTAACCTTTATTTTAAATTATATTTTATGTGTATGGGTGTTTTACCTGCTTGTGTGTCTGTGTGCTGCTTCTGTGCCTGGTGGCCCTGGAGCCAGAAGAAGGCACTGAATCCCCTGGGACTACTGTTACAGATGGTTTGAAGTCGCCATGTGGGTCTTGGGAGTTGAACCTGGGTCCTCTGGAAGATCAAGGAGTGCTTTTAACTGCCAAGACCTCTTGCCAGCCCTGAGAACTGGTATTTTGTGAATATAGAATGGTAACTCAATTTTACTTTTCTCTATTTGGCTTTATTTCCTGTAGCTAGAGTTTTCCTGCCTTGCCCACAGTCAGGACAAATCT